TTGGGGGGGGGGGGGGGGCTGTGCAGGCCCATGAGGCCACAGGGTCAGTTAGCGACCTTGGCTCGCGAAACAGCTTACTCAGTGCAGCAAGCAGCCACAGGGTTGTGCCTGGCTTGCTGGAAGTGCAGGGGGCACGGGCAGGCTTACCGCCTGCTGTGGAAAATCTCTGAAAGGCACCTGGCCCCTGGTCTCCTCCGTCTGACCACCACCGTAACCACAGCATGACGGCAGCGCTGTATGTGCAGGCGCTCCGCCACGGCTGCTGCCAGGTGCTGCGCCTGAGGCTACCGCCCTGGCAGAAGCTGCTGCTCATTGGCCTGAAGGCAGTGGCCATCACCGGATACTTCGTGGGCAAGCTGCGCAGCTGGAGCAGGGCGTCCAATGGCAGCATGCGCGAGGCGCGCCCGCGCCGCCCGCTCCCCAGCTTCCTGTGCAGTGGCGGCCCAGCAGGCGGCGCAGTCGTGGTGGTCCCCGCCTGCATAGCGGGGCGTCACCAGGCAGCACGGCTGCAGCGGCTGGTGCATGGGGTGCTGTTTGGGCAGCAAGAAGCCCCGGCGGCGGTGGTTGTTGTCGACGACTGCAGCCCTGTGCAGGTGGCAGACTTGCTGGCAGAGGTGCAAGGTGAGCGCATGCCTGCTGCTGGGATGCTGCAGTGATGCTGCCATCCAGCACAGGGCATCCAGCGCAGGATATTTCTTTCCCTGGCCACGCTGACCTTCCTGCAGGCGCAGCCCCAATCGGCCACCAACCACTGCTGGCCGTCCACCGCCTGCCCACCAACCAGGGCCTTGCTGCCGCCTGCAACGTTGGGCTGCAGCTGGCGGCCGGGATGGGCGCTGGGGTGGTGCTGTTCACTGATGACGACTGCCAGCCAGATGCAGACTGGGTGGCATGCATGCTGGTATGCTGGGGGGTGGCCTCAGGTTGGACCCACACTGCTTGCATCTGGATGCACTCTCGCTGCTGATTGGTCCCTGGTAGCCCACTGACCAACCAAGCAGCTTTGCCGCAGGCTGCCCAGGCGCGCACACCGGGGCTGGTGTGCGGCCGCACGGCGGCCACCCGCCCCGGCACTGCCGTGGGGCTGTTCCACGATGTGTTTGGCACGCTCAACGGCCGGCTGCTGCCCGATGGCAGCCTGCTATATGGCTGCACCTGCAACCTGTCGGCGGCGCTGCCCGCCCTCCAGGCCGCCGCCGGCAGCGGCGCCCCGGCAGCAGGGCCCTTCCCAGCGCCCGCCTGCGGCAGCAGTGGCTTGCTGCTCTTTGACGAGAGCTTCTCCATTGCCGCTTTCGAGAACGTTGAGTATTGCGTGAGGGCCAGGAAGGCTGGCATCGCCATCAGGTGTGCCTGTCTGAGCTGCCGACACCCAGCATGCAGGTGCGCACAGCTTCATGATCATGATGAGCAAGCGCGGCCGTGCCCCGCCCCGCCCCGCCCCGCCCCACAGCTATGCACCGGAGGCGCTGGTCCTGCACGACTATGCCTACACCCCAGCGGCTCTGTTCCGCCAGTTTGCCAAGCATGGCAGCCAGGAGGGGCTGATGGCGCTCAAGCACCGAGAGTACCCCGCCTTGCTGGCCGCCTCCCGGGACGTGCCCGCCGTGGCGGCTGGAGCCTGCAGCTGACCAATAGCCCTGTTGCGTGCTGTCACGACTCGATTGCCAGCATGTGCCTTGGATGTAGACGTCCCAATCATGGATGTGAGCCGGTGGCGGCGGCGGTGGGCCGGGGTGGAAAGCAGGAGTAGGGTTTGGTGCATGCATTGGGATGCCTCGTTTGCCTTCCGGCCACTTTTCTCCTCTCCTACCCATCCTCCTAGTCGCCAGTCTGCACACCACCGAGCAGGATGAGCGGCATCGTGGACAGGCTTCGCAAGCTGAGCGGGCGGGCCACCGAGAGCGAGACCCCCAAGAGTGAAGTCTCCAGCCCCAAGACCAACCCGTGGAGGGGCGTGTTCGACCCAGCGTAAGTCCTGCGGCCACTTCCGAAAGCTGATGGCATCGCCCTGATCGGCGGTGGTGCCGGCTGCTTTCGGCGCTCAATGACTGCTTCGGCGCTCAATGACGAAGTCCGGCAGTTTGCAAGAACATCAACCGGCCGCGCCAGAATCACGCCGCCGCCGCCCCTGCCGCTTCTGCAGCTCCAACCCCAACACGAAGAACGCAGGCCGCAGCTACTACGACACTCCCGACCCTGGAAACCCCAAGACCACCTGGTACGGCTCGTGCCCTGTGGCTGTATGTTCGAGCTGGAACAGCTGGCTCCTCTAGCCACTTGTGCGATGCGCCGCTGAGCATCACTCCTTCCCCTCCATCAGCTTGCCCTCCCTGGCTTGCTGCAGGGATTACCACCTGGATGCTCAGAACGCGGCCTCGCACGACGTGACCACAGCGGCGTTCAAGGCCATGGGCGCCAAGAGCACGAGTGAGCCGACAGCTGCCAGCCCCCAGCTCTTGTTTGAGGCCACACCGCGCCCTTCCTGCAGCAGCCCTGCGGTCATCGGTTCCTTGCAAACCTCGCCCCGTGCACCTCGCATCACCCTCCTGTACCTCTCCCCCTGTCCCTGCCTGCCTGCCCACAGGCGACGAGCTGGATGCTGATGCGCTGCGCAAGATGTTTTCGGCGGACCGCGTGGAGAACATCATGCAGGCGGCCGACAAGAACAAGGCGAGCTAGGGATGCCAGATACGCTGTGGGCTGGCTTGCAGCTCGAACAAATTCGATGTTTGCGTTGGATGGCCTGCCTCAATCCTGGACTTGTTGTGTGTCTCCCCATTTGGTGATTGCAGAATGGGAAGATCTCGTTCTCCGAGTTCTGCTCGCTGATCCGCAGCCAGGAGTGCCCATGAGTGTGGCGGAGCGCCAGCGGCGAGTGGAGGGACATCGAAAAGGAAGGGGAGAGGCTCAAGCCCTTGTGACCAGCAGACCTGCCGCGCAGTGTTGAAGCAACTGTGCCTCGAACGAATGAGGGATGCCGAGTGAACAACGAGCGCAGCAGGCGGCGCCCATTGGCAGCTGCAGCCGCTGATTACAAGCGGCGCCGCCATTTTCTCGCCAACGTACGATCCTTTTGCAGGGCACATTGTCTTTTATATGCATGCCATGGTCATCCCTCTGTATTCATACCCTGCCTGTGAACTAGATGCAACGCTTTGTTTTGCAAGGAATGTGACCTGCTCTCCACGGGCGGCGGCCAGCAGGGGGGCACCTGTCGCCTGCCAGGCAGGCACTGGCAGTGCGGGCCGTGCCCTGTGGCGGCTGACATTAGGTGCTGTAACGTGCCCCACAAACTGGAAGTGTCGGGAATGGTTGCCTTCAGAGAAACGAAAGAGATGCACGTGACGCCAGATGAGCAGTTCATCAGTGGCGGGTCCGTGGATGGTGCCTACACAATGCAGGGCAAGCATGGGCAACGTTTGCCTTTCGGTCACTTTTCTCCTCTCCTACCCATCCTCCTAGTCGCCAGTCTGCACACCACCGAGCAGGATGAGCGGCATCGTGGACAGGCTTCGCAAGCTGAGCGGGCGGGCCACCGAGAGCGAGACCCCCAAGAGTGAAGTCTCCAGCCCCAAGACCAACCCGTGGAGGGGCGTGTTCGACCCAGCGTGAGCTACAGCAGACTTGCGAAACAGAATCTTCGGAATGGGCATCGCCGGTGGCGCTGCTTCTGCGCTCAATTACTGCGTCTGCGCTCAATGACGAAGTCTGGCAGTTTGCAGGAAGAGCAGCCGGCCGCTCCAGAATCACCGCTGCCGCGCCAGAATCACCGCTGCCGCCGCCCTCTGCCCCGCTGCTACAGCTCCAACCCCAACACAAAGAACGCAGGCCGCAACTACTACGACACTCCCGAACCTGTAAACCCCAAGACCACCTGGTATGGCCCATCCCCTGCGGCTGTGTGCTCGAGCTGGAAGAGCCGGAAGAAAACGTTTCACACGTGCAATGCGTCGCTGAGCGACATGCCCCTGCCGCCCCTTACTCTGGCTTGCCCACCCTGGCTTGCTGCAGGGACTACCACCTGGATGCTCAGAAGGCGGACATGCCCGACATGACCACAGCGTCGTTAAAGGCCATGGGCGCCAAGAGCGCGAGTGAGCCGACAGCTGCCAGCCCCCAGCTCTTGTTTGAGGCCACACCGCGCCCTTTCTGCAGCGGCCCTGCGGTCATCGGTTCCTTGCAAACCTCGCCCCGTGCACCTCGCATCACCCTCCTGTACCTCTCCCCCTGTCCCTGCCTGCCTGCCCACAGGCGACGAGCTGGATGCTGATGCGCTGCGCAAGATGTTTTCGGCGGACCGCGTGGAGAACATCATGCAGGCGGCCGACAAGAACAAGGCAAGCCGGGGATGCCAGCTGCGATCTGGGCTGGCTTGCAGCTCGAACAAATTCGATGTTTGCGTTGGATGGCCTGCCTCAATCCTGGACTTGTTGTGTGTCTCCCCATTTGGTGATTGCAGAATGGGAAGATCTCGTTCTCCGAGTTCTGCTCGCTGATCCGCAGCCAGGAGTGCCCATGAGTGTGGCGGAGCGCCAGCGGCGAGTGGAGGGACATCGAAAAGGAAGGGGAGAGGCTCAAGCCCTTGTGACCAGCAGACCTGCCGCGCAGTGTTGAAGCAACTGTGCCTCGAACGAATGAGGGATGCCGAGTGAACGAGCGCAGCAGGCGGCGCCCATTGGCAGCCGCAGCCGCTGATTACAAGCGGCGCCGCCATTTTCCCGCCAACGTACGAACCTTTTGCAGGGCACATTGTCTTTTATATGCATGCCATGGTCATCCCTCTGTATTCGTACCCTGCCTGTGAACTTGATGCAACGTTTTGTTTTGCAACGAATGTAAACCGCTCTCCACCCCCGCAGCGCCCTGTGTGACGTGCGCTGTGCCGCCTCGCGGGCTTCAAAAACGGTTTGGGTTGCATGGTCGCCCAACCGCCTCCCAGCGCACATCTCCCACGTGACATGCTTCAAAAAGCCTTTTAGCCGGTTGGCCTGCCAGGCCACGGCTGCGACAGGCGGATGGCGGCCACGCTGCCTGCCAAGCCCGTTGCGCTGCGAGATGCTGCGCAGCAGGCGGTGTACTCCCAGGCGTTCAAAGATGTGGCAGCGCACGTGGAGGCGGACGACGCCTTCGGCAAGGTCAAAGGCGCAGTGGAGAGCCACTTGGGCCTGCTGCAGAAACAGGCACAGGTCCGGGTGCGGAATTGGCTGAAGAAATTGTCGGAAGAGGTGCGCGCAAGGTGGTGTATGTGCTGCTGCCGCTGCCGCCGCCGGCTGCCGCCACCTGCACCAGCTGCCGCAATAGCCCAAACCGCGCTTCCCAAACTCTCGGCGCCGTTCTCGAATGCAGACAGCAAACGTGGTGTGGAAGAAGAACCGCAACGCCTATGCCCGGCTGCTGCTTGAGCAGCTGCGGCGCGGCATGCTGGCAGAGCCATTCAGCGCAGCGCCTCCCGACGGCCCGCTGCCCACGCTCCCTAAGCACTTGGCATACGCCTTCAAGCCGGCACGCGCAGGCAGCCCCGCCGCTGTCACCGGCACTAGCAACGTCGCAGCGGCGGCAGCAGCAGCAGCGCAGCACAGCCCGGCCCACGAGCAGCAGCAGCTGTCCGCCAGCGAGCAGCTGGACCAATACCTGGGGCGTGCCGACTTCCGGCGGGCGCAGCACGCAGAGGAGCAGGCGGCGCTGGCCTCGCCGCCTGGAGTAGGCGGGAAGACAGGGCGCGGTGGCGCCGGCAGCGAGCCGCAGTACCTTCCCGGTACCCGCATGCGGCTGCGGGGCGCCGAGGGCCGGCGGGTGGACAGGTGGGAGGCGGGAAGGTGCCGTGGGTGTTGGCCCTCGTGTTTGAAGACAGGCACCACAACCGGCTTGCATTGCTTGTCCTCCGACCTCTTTTTGCTTTGGCTGCATTCCTGCCCTCCAACCTCCACCTCTGCTGCTGTGTTTTGTCACATGTGCGCAGGCACCAGCTGAGCGATGTGGGGTGGCAGCCCAGCAAGCTGGAGCTGCAGGCGCAGCTGGGCGCCTCGCGGGAGCGCCAGTCAGAGCTCGAGTGGCGGCTGCAGCAGATGGAGGGCCTGCTGCACCAGCACTCGGCGCTGCTGCACAAGGGGCAGCAGGCAGCGCCTCTGGGGTCGCTGCTGGATGCAATGGAGGCTGGCGAGCGCGTGTCGCCGCCGCGCCAGGTGACGCAGGGGCCTTGTGCCTTGACGCGCTGCCGCTGCTGCTTGCTCTTCGGTTTCTGCTTTGTGTGGCGTGCGCTCATGAGCGCATCTGTCTGCTTCCTGCTCCTTCTTGCAGCGCGCCGGCAAGAAGGAGCTGGAGGAGCTGATCGATAGGTATGAGGCTAGGAGGCGACGGTGGCAGTCGCCTCAAAAGTCGAGAGCCCCGGCGCCTGTGGTGGCCCCCAGGTGAGTTGCGGGATGAGCCTTGACATGGTAGTGCTGCTGTACTGCGAGGATGTGTACGTTCCAGAGGCGGGCTGCATGAAGGGCTGCGGTGGGGGCCTTGGGGCACACCACCGGGCATGCTTGCTGTTCTGGCTGGCCGGCTGAGTTGTGTGTGCCTGTTGGCCTCCCACACCTGGTGCCTGGATGCAGCGATGAAGCTGAGATCCTTGAGCAGCTGGGCAACTTCCAGCGGCAGACAGAGTCCATCAGGCTGGCGCTGGGCGGGGAGGACGGGCCCTCCCACCTGCCTTCCAGCTCCGTGGCCGCCAACACCAGCGCCAGCGAGTGGGGCCTGCCAGTGGGCACACCAGCGCGGCAGCAAGCCACGGGGCTGCGGGGCGGCGGCTACACGCCGCGGGCGCTGGGCGGGGGCAGGGCCGGCGGCCAGCAGCAGCAGCCTTCGCTGGCGCTGTTCGACGGGCTGCCGCCGTCCCCGGCAGCGCTGGCAGCGAGCCGCTGGCACAGCAACCGGCACGTGGAGCATGCTGGGCATTATGAGCACAGCAGCCAGCCGCTGCAGCAGGAGCAGGCAAAGCAGGCTGCCAGGACTCAGCCCGCCGGTGCCGCCGCTGGCACTCTTACTGGCACGACAGCAGAGCAGCGGCAGCAGCAGCGGCCTCGGAGCCCGATTGGCCCCGACATCAGGCACACCAAAAAGTCGGCGGCAGCGGCAGCGGAGCGGGCTTGCACATCAGCCAGCGCCTCCCTGCAGCGGCTGAAGGCCAGCCGGCCGTGGGCAGCAGCAGCAGACACCCCCAGCTCAGCCCCTGCACGGCAGCCTTTTGTGGCAGCCGAGCAGCGGCAGCAGGAAAGGGGGCAAGCGGCAGCAGCAGCGCAGCAGCAGCGGCCGCACGGACCCTCAGAGGCGCAACCACCACCCCTCGATGAGCGGCGGGAGGCCCAGCAGGAGGCGCAGCAGCAGCAGCATGCAGATAGCACAGCTGATCCGCAAGACAATGTGGCCTTGCAGCAGCCGGTGTGGCTGGCGCCGCCGCTCCCGCCAGACAGCAACGCTGCACTTGTCGCAGAGGTGCGCCAGCTGCGCTCCAAGCTGCTTGCCAGCCTGCAGAAGCATGCCCCTGAGCTGGCTGGTGGTGGTGGCACTCCAGGCATCAGCAGCAGCCGCTTCGGCGGCTCAGGCAGCTTGTCGGCTGCAGCGACCAAGTTGCAGCAGCGGTGGCAGGAGGAGGGCGACAGCGAGGCCGATGCGTGGCGCTTGCCAGCTGTACCGGCTGCCAGCCCTCCAGCCTCTGCCAGCCACAGCCGTGTTGGACTGGACAGGCCGCTCAGCAGCCCCTGGGCAGCGCCACCGGCGACAGTTGCCTGCAGCAGCAGCAAGTACAGACTCACAGATTTTGGCAGCAGCGGCCGCCTGAGCATCAGCGGCGGCGATCTGTCGCCTGCCCTGCCCCTGCGGAGCGGCGTCGGCACCCCAGCCAGCCTCGGCAGCGGCCTTGGCAGCCTGGCGCAGCCAACCAGCCTGGATGTGGGGGGCAGCCTGGCCCCGGCAGGAGGCTTTTCGCTGGAGTCATTTGAGCAGCAGACCGAGGCGTTGCGGCGCCAGCTCGCGGGCGTCTGAGCCTTCCATCTGTCGCCCACCTGTTGTTGTTGTTTTCTCTGTTGACTTGAACCGACCGTATTGAACACTCTGTTGACCCATCCGTGACCTATCCTGTAATTTGTGTGACAGCCAGCTGGGCGGCACCTGGGCACCAGCGCCGCAAGCCGTATCGGTCAGCTGGCGGTGTGGCAGCCATGTGCCGGGAAGCAACTTGTTCGCTGATACACCCTTCATAATTGCACACTGCAAGAGTTTCTAGCTCATCTGGTGTACGGTCGTGCACCCCTATGTCGCCCTCGTAGAGAAGGCACAATCGCATCGCAAGCTCGCAAGCGCAGTGGCTCGGGACAGGCTCGCCACACAGTGCGCCGGCCAGTCATGGCGCTAGCGACACGGGTTGGGGCCGTCCTCCTGCTGGCCGCCCTCCTCCCCACCGCCACCGCCCGCAACTCGCCACGGGTGCGCAAATACAACTGGCGCGTGACGCTCGACGTGGCCGCCCCAGACTGCTTTGAGCGGCCGGTCATACTGGTCAACGGCCAGCTGTCGCCGACCATCGAGGTGGAGCAAGGAGATATCCTCCAGGCGCGCGGCAGCCTGCCTTGGTCGCTGTCCGGCTGCGCATGCCCCAGCTTGCCCAACCCCCGCCTGCAAGCATCTTGCTTTGCACGCTATGTGCAGTTGACCCTCCACAACCTGATCCCAGAAGACTACCCTTCGGTACACCGCGGCATCACCATCCACTGGCATGGGTGGAAGATGAAAGGCATCCCCTGGTAGGCACCTGGGCAGGCGGGGCCTCTTGTGCTGCCAGGACTGCTGGTCTCGGCTAGGCTGGGTTGGATGCCATTTGATGCCAGTGGCTGGGCCACCACAGGGGAATCAGTCGCCGCCTTTTGCTGTACATTTGCCCACCTTTGCCGCATTGTGCAGGTACGACGGCGTCGGCTCCGTGGAGTTGTGCCCTGTGCTGCCCGGCCAGAAGATGACCTACAGGTTCCAAGTCAACGAGATGCCGGGTGCGTCTGCAGCGCCAGTCGCAGCATGCCTCGCACTGTGGGCAGGCGCGGGCAGAAGGGCCTTTGCCGATGGTGCACCTGCATGGCTGACGGCGTGGCGCTGCTCAACCTGCTTGATAGCAAGCTGCAACAGAAGGCTTGCAGTCTGCGGTTGGCCAGAGGGCAGGTTGGCAGCGGGAGTGGGTGGCCAGCTGCCCTTGGCTGGCTGAGCCGCCTCCCAGCCTCCCAGCCTCCTGACCCAGCGGTGCGATCACCACACGTGCCGCCCGTTTGCCACAGGCACGTACATGTGGCACGGCCACAACGGCGCCGACCGCGTCGACGGCTTTGGCGGCCCGCTCATCGTGCGCCCCTGCGGCACGCCGGTGGTGCCGCTCAAGTATGATGGGGAGCGCACGCTCATGCTGACCGACTGGTGGCACACAGGCAAGCAGCCGGCGCACGCCTCTGCCCGCACCAGGTGGTCAGGAAGCCAGGAAGCCCCTAACCCTGGGGCGGCCTCCCATCTGAGCGGCTGGAGACAGTCGACCCTCTGACACTGACCCC